TGTAGATTGCAATGCGAAAGGGGGCCGTTGATTCCGAAAAAGGGGGGATCGTTATTGTTTTTCTGAAAAGAGAAGATGCATCGTGCAATCTAGGCGGGACAATTTACGCGGGGCAAGCTTTTGGTGCATTCGACAAATGCTCGAAGTGAGTTGCCCACTCCACTGCTCGCGCAATCGCCCCACCCGCCCGCCCGCAATTTGGATTGCACAGCCCACGCAACGGATTTTGTGATGATGGATTGGCGTTGGCCGGCGCATCTCTGCGGCAGCGCTAGCTCGCGAATTCTCGCGCGCGCAACGGCTAGCTAGTGCGGCGCGACCAACGCGGCCGCGGTGGCGCTGACCGCCGGGCTTGTCCCAGAGGGCACTTCAGTGCGACTCGGTGATTTGGGCGGGCGCGGCATCGACAACGGTAGACACGATGATTCAGGTACCGATGCTGGTGACGATGGTGGTGATGCCGATGGCAAAGCCATTGACGGCGCGAGTGTTGATCACGCCAGAATTCGATGGCACTGGAACGAAATAACTATGGCGGTTGTGAGAATTCACAAGAGCGCGCGCAACTTTGTTTTAAGGTTGAGTGTGAAAACCATGTGTTCGTTCCAAACCATCCTGTGGTGTTGGGTCCTCGTGTTGATGAAACGATACCCGCGTTCCTCCTCGCCTCTCCTCTCCTCCGCCTCCTCCTCCTCCTCCTTTCTTCCTCCTCCTCCTCCCTCCCTCGTGGCACACCCCTCACACGCTTCGTGGCCACATCGGGAGCTCCACCTAACGTCCCAGCGGCTCAGTCCGCATGGCGGCGCCGCCCCATGTTGGCACACCCCTCACACGTTTCGTGGCCCCATAGGGAGCTCCACCGGATGACCTAGTGGCGCAGTCCGCATGGCGGCGCCGCCCCATCTTAGCACACCCGTCACACGCTTCGTGGCCCCATAGGGAACTCCACCTAAGGTGCCGTTTGCTCGCGCGACGACGCGCGCGCGTGCGCGCTCCGTTCCGTGTGTTCGAACGATTTCGACATATTCGCGCGAGAAGCCCGTTGGGTAGCATGTTATGAAAACGTTGAGCAACGCAATTGTTTTAGTGTGAGAGTGGGCGCACGTTTTGTTTGATGTTGTTTAACATTTTTGCATATGCGCGTGCGGCGATGCGCGCAATTGCATGTCGTCCTGTTTGTTGCAATTGATGCTTGGAACCAATTTGGTTTTGATGAATTCTAGACGCTTCGCTTATCCCCACCAGCCCATCCCGAAACGATGTCCAGGCGAGTTGAGGTGATCAGGGAAGTGCGGCAGCAAAAAGGAGGACGGCCGAACCGTGCAAAGGAGTGAGGAGGAGAAGGAGGAGGTGGATAGATGGATGGATGAGGGAGTGGGAAGACGGAAGATGAATAGGATGAGGAGGAGGCGGAGAGGAGGAGGAGGAGGAGCAGGAGGAGGAGGAAGAGAAGGAGTAGGAGCAGGAAGGAGGAACAGGAGAAGGAGGAGGAGGAGGGCAAGCACAAGGGCCAGAGGTCTCTTGGATGCCTCTAGGAGCCTCTTGGAGTATCTCTTGGGCGATTCTTGGGGGCCTCTTGGGACGTCTTGGGGGTCTCTTGGCGATCCTGGGGGGCTCTTCGGGGTCTTGGGTGCCTCGGGGGGGGGCCTCTTGGGGCCTCTGAGGGTCTTCTTGGGGGCCTTCTGGGGGCCTCTTGGGGGCCTCTTGGGGCCATCTTGGGGCCATCTTGGGACCTCTTGGGGCCTCCTGGGCGCTTCTTTGTGCCATCTTGGAGGAGATCTATCAAAGAAGAGCTGAGCTTTAATTAGCGTTGCCCCCCCAGGAGGCCAAAATGGGGCCAAAACCATGCTAAAATCAATGATTTTGGCTTCCTCGCCGAGGCTGTTTTGGACGCTCTGACCGCTCCCCGCCCCTCCTGTCCAGGTCAGTGGGGAGGGGGTAGGGGGAGGGGTAAACCCCTCCCCGAAGGGGAAGAGGGAGGGGTGGAAGAGGAAACACCCTAAACCACCGACGCCCAGAGGGCTGGTGGGACTAGTGTGCGCCCGTAGCATGTTTTGGAAAAAGGATGAGGAGGGGGCGTTGCCGGATTGGCTGTGACGATACGAATTCATAGTTCGGATGGACGGTTGGGCAAGCTCGTGTATAACATGCAGATGCGAAGGCGTGTCTTTTCAGTCGGGGGGGGTGTAGGTCCTAATCTTATTTTGGGAAGGGGATCGACGGGCAGCGAGGCGGCGACGGGGCGACGACGGCGACCACGGAGCCGCCAGACCGCCAAGCAGGCCCAGACGACGTGCGGTGACGAGGCGGCGACGCGGCGGCGACGGCCACCACGGAGCTGCCGGAACGCCAAGCAGGCCCAGACGACGACAGGGCACCGACGGCAGCCACGCAGACGCCACACAGCCACGCAAGCCCAGTTCTCTATGACAGACAAGGAAGAAACCCCGAACTGCGAGCTTCTACATATACGTATATATATATATATATATATATATATATATATATGCATATGTCTATGTATATAGACATACACTCAAAGTATTCAGATAATTATGTATGTACCTATATACGTTATATATAGCTAGAGAGAGAGAGAGAGAGAGAGAGAGAGAACAAAAAAAAGAAAGAAAGAAACAAAACACAGAGAGAGAGAGAGATTTCTGACAGTTGCCGTAGTACTGCATGGTCCCGAGTGGGCCTTCGTTGGGGTCTCGTGAGGCCGGTTTCACGCCGCCTTGGGGGTCTCCTGAGCCGTCTTGGGTCCTTCTGGGGCCGTCTTGGCCCCTGAGAGCAATCTTTGGGGTTTCTTGGGGCGGTCTGGGGGCCCAGATGGGCTGTCTTGGGGTGGGCCGTCTGGAGCACCTCCAGGGGCTCTGTTGGAGCGTCTTGGGGCCTCTTGGGCCCCGCTCGGGCGGTCCTGGGCTCGTCTTGGGGCCCGCTTGGGCGCCTACTGTGCTATCTTGGACGACGGATCTCGAGGGTGCGGTACATTGGGCCGTCTCGGCAGCTCTGGAACCGAAAAGCCGAGTATGCGAAGATTGCACCAGACCTACGAACAACCCATACTCTGGCCGGTTCTTTCGGCGTGTTCTGACCGGCTGACGGAAAATTGCCAAACTGGACATAGCGGGCCACCGCTGACAACGGCCAGGGGGCCCACTGACAACGGCCAGGGGGGGTCACTGACAATGGCCAGGGGGCTCACTGACATCGGCCAGGGGGGTCACTGACAACGGCCAGGGGGGGGGGGTCGCTGACAACAGCCAGGGGGGGCCACTGACAACGGCCACGGAGGCCACTGACAACGGCCAGGGGGGTCACTGACAACGGCCAGGGGGGTGACTGACAACGACCAGGGGGGTCCACTGACAACGCCAGGGGGGGCCACTGGGTTGTCAGTGGGCCCCCCGGGGGTTGTCAGTGCCCCCCCCCGGGGGTTGTCAGTGGGCCCCCCTGGGGGTTGTCAGTGCCCCCCCTGGGGGTTGTCAGTGGCCCCCCTGGGGGTTGTCAGTGGGCCCCCTGGGGGTTGTCAGTGGGCCCCCTGGGGGTTGTCAGTGGGGGGGGTTGTCAGTGGGCCCCCCTGGGGGTTGTCAGTGGGCCCCCTGGGGGTTGTCAGTGGGCCCCCCCGGGGTTGTCAGTGGCCCCCCTGGGGGTTGTCAGTGGGGCCCCCTGGGGTTGTCAGTGGAGCCCCGTCGGTGAGGTCCCGAACTCGACAGGAACGGCGTTTTGTCGAGTTCGGGACCGCCCCGACGGGGCTCACTGACAACTCACTGACAACCCCAGGGGGCCCCGCTGACAACCCCCAGGGGGTCCCACTGACAACCCCGGGGGGGCCCACTGACAACCCCCAGGGGGCCCACTGACAACCCCCAGGGGGGCCCACTGACAACCCCCAGGGGGGGCCACTGACAACCCCCAGGGGGCCACTGACAACCCCCGGGGGGGCCCACTGACAACCCCAGGGGGGCCCACTGACAACCCCAGGGGGGCCCACTGACAACCCCCAGGGGGGCCACTGACAACCCCCGGGGGGCCCACTGACAACCCCGGGGGGGCCACTGACAACCCCCTGGGGGCCACCACCACCCTAGGCCCGCCCGACGGCGTTGTCAGTCCACCCCCTGGCCGTTGTCAGTGGGCCCCCTGGCCATTGTCAGTGACCCCCCCTGGCCGTTGTCAGTGACCCCCCTGGCCGTTGTCAGTGACCCCCCTGGCCGTTGTCAGTGACCCCCCCTGGCCGTTGTCAGTGACCCCCCCTGTCGCTGTCAGTGGGCCCCCTGGCCGTTGTCAGTGGGCCCCCTGGCCGTTGTCAGTGACCCCCCCTGGCCGTTGTCAGTGACCCCCCTGGCCGTTGTCAGTGACCCCCCTGGTCGTTGTCAGTGACCCCCCTGGCCGTTGTCAGTGGCCCCCCCTGGCCGTTGTCAGTGACCCCCCTGGCCTGATCAGTTTTTCTCCGATTTGATCGTTTTCGGGTGGCTATGGTCCCCCCCCCCGAAACACGCTCTGCGTTCCAGCCAGCCCATACTTTTTGCCTCCCGGAGGCCTCTTGGGAGCCGTCTTCGGGCCCCTTTGGGAGCCTTCTGGGCTGTCGAGTGGCCATCCTGTGCACGCCTGGGGGCGCTCGTCGGGCCCTCCTGAGGCCTCCGGGTGCCGTCTTGGGGCCGTCTTGGGGCCATTTGGGGCCGTCTTGGGCCCTTCTGGGGCGCTCCGGAAACAGGTTCCCCCGCCCCCGGCCCTGAGTTGTGCCAGGTCCGTTGTCTTTGAATAATTGAACCGATTGAATTAGCACAGCTAGATACATGTATATATATATATATATATACACACATACATACATACATACATACATACATACATACATACATACATACATACATACATGGATGCATGCATGTCTGCATGCATACATACGTACGTAAGTCCGTACATACAGACACACAAGCGTACGTACGTACGTACACACATGCATCATACATGCATTCGTGCGCCTGCCGCAGCGCGCTGTTCGTGAGCCGCTTGATCGAGGGCATGCCAGCGGTCTCCACGCCGCCCCCAGAGATCGTTGGGACCGACGTGGAGGAGGAGGACGACGACGAGGCTGCTCATTTCTCCCAGGTCTCCCAGATGGGATCCGAGCAGATGGGGTCGGAGGATCGCGCCGCATCGGCGATGCATCGCCGATGCGCTGCGATGTGGCCATGTGGAGCCCGATTTTCTCCACCCCGACGTCGCTGATGAATCGGCGACACCGCCGACGCACCGCTGGTGATCGCCGATGCACTGCCGATGTATCGGGGATTTGGCGCGATCCTCCGACCTCATCTACTCGGACCCCATTTGGAGTCCTCTATTATTGTGACGAAGTGCGGACAGCCATGGGTAGTAGTTGGTAGTTGATGCCAGTCTTCCTTGCCCCGGAGTAAGAGGAGGCAGTTAGAAGCGGATGTTGAGCCTTGTTGGCAGGGTTGGCCGTACGCGCAGGTTGGCTGGGTCCGTCTTCTTGCATACCCCGCTCGTGCTTGGCGGATCCGCCGAATCTACAGCTTTCTGTCCGATCTGTGGAGTCCATCGTTCCTTGCATGTTCAAAGTTGCGTCTCAGCTTTGCGGCTGTCTGGTTGCAGGCACCTCCCTCTGCATGGTTGTTTGATCTTTAGAATTGGTAAGGCCGCTGCACTGTACTGGGGAGGTTCTACACACAGCAGTTTCTGGCAGGTAAGGGGTACAAGGAGAAGGAGGACGAGGAGGGGGAGGAGGAAGAGGGCGGCATGAGATTCTGCTGGCAGCGAGGTGGCCCAACTTGATGGAGAGAGCGGGCAGTGTATCGCCGAGGGTCGCGAATCTCGGTGATCACCAGTATCGTGGCCACTGCTCTTAATGACCCAGCTGCGCGTGCACTTCGGAATCGCACGGATCTGTGCCGCAGGCGTTCGCGCCCCAGAACTGAGCAGCGGCCACGGCTATGAGTGGTGAGTAGTTGCCAGTGCTGTGGAGCGGCCGTTTCTTGTCCGTTGATGTTATGGTCTCTCACTTGCATTTTATGACGGCCCAACCGTTGTCATTTCATTCACGTCCCAGTTGCCGCTTTCCTCGGCACCGACACATCTAAGATCAGGTCAGCGCGCCATCTCTCACCCCACCCCTTCACTGATATTAGGCGTCCTCCTCCGATCAGTTCAACTTCTCCCTGTACCTTTCCAATGAAGCAGGATTTAGTGGTCCCAGGCCCAGCGAGAACGTTCGACTCCCGAAGATTCGGATCCGTCATTCGTATTTCTGGAGGTAGACTCGGGCATCACATTTATGCACGCTCAAAGCCAGAGCTGAATTGCAGCCCAAAGCAGCTCTGGAGAAAAGCCGAGCGGACCATGCGGGATGTAGTGGCGCCGTCGATAGTGTCATTCTGGATCTCAGGCGGTTCTCCTGCAGATTTCTCCAGGCTGTAATTCGATCGAACTTGCTTTGGCAGCGACCAGGTTGATTTTATCTATCGCCCTGTTTCAGAGTCTCTCGCGTTTGTGGTTCGGTTCGGCACGATTTGTTTCGGTTCGATCGAATTTTGGATTGCCACTCAACCTTGGGCACCAGGTCACCGGGTGGCCTTGACATTTGGTTTGGCGCTTGCTCGCGTGGGGAATAGCGGCAAGTGGGGAGAAACACGTTATTTTGAAGGTTGGCAGCACAGGTGCAGCTACCCCGCGAGGGCTTGGCGATTCGAAGATGTCGAGCCAAGGCAGCAGCCCGCCTTTGGCGCAGTGTTTCTCACACTGAAGACCCTGCGCAACGCAGACCAAGCGGCAACGCTGGGCCCCTGGCGAATCCCTGGTTTCTCGCAGCCCCTCACGGGTCAAGCCAGCAGGTGAAGGGCTTCAGCGCACATGGAGCTCGGTCGGAGTGCCAGATCCTGCGGGATCCTGCCAGGCTGGACGTCGGCTGGGCCCGGTCTGGGGGCCGCCCGCGGCCCTGGAGGTCGCAGTCCGCGTTGGCGGAGCCAGATTTGGGGAAGTCCCAGAAATGTGCAGTATTCGGGGCTGGACAGAACCCCCGCCCTGACACGTCGATTAGTGAATTGTCCGTTTTCGGTTCTCGAGAGGGCGCCGCGGCCGTCATTTTCCAGGCTTGCGCCCTCCAGGTTTGGGCCCCAGGTCGTTGTCTCGAAACCACGTTTTGCTACAGGGGGTTCTGTCCATCCCCGAAGTATTGTTTTCCTGCACTGGCTGAGCCGGGTTTGCGCCGTGCCAGGTTCGTCCGTGCCAAGACGGGCCGGCTCCCCCCCCCCCTTCCCGGGGGGTCTCTACCAGGGCCCCCACGACGCTTTGGGCCGCCCCTCGCCGGATTCCCTTTCGGCCAGAATGAGGGGGACGAGACGATGGTCGAAATGACCTCTGCACTGCCCGATTAGGGAGCTGTTCATTACGACCGATATACGCTTGAAAGAGGAAGTTCCCTTTGGCCGCCCTTATTTCATGAGACTGGCAAGCCATGATCCCTCTCTCGTGTCACAGCCTGTTCGTGGATTACGAGACAGTGATTCGTATTGAGTTGCATCACTTCCTTTTCTCTTCACTTGGCATTGCACGTCGAACATTTTTACTTTCTCTGGGACCCTTCCCTCTCCAGGCATCCATCAGTGCTGCAGAACTTGTACAATAGAAATCTGCAGTTGGTGGCATTAAGCGTATGTATCCTTCCTTCTGCGGGGTGGCCGCTGACCATTGTGGCCGCCTCGCATGAGGAAGCCGCGAGCGCGGATAGCGTTGTTTTTTTCTGTTATGGCCGAGATCGGCCGCCCATGCTGCGTCACAGCAGAGCCAGAGGGCTTGGCCAACAGGGTACCACGCGTCTTCGCGAAGAGCTTGGGGCCATTGGGGAAATGAGGGCGGGGCGGACGTTTCGCAGGGTTGATACACGAGGCGTCACGGGAGAGTAGAACAGCTAGAGCGAGGGGGACGACCGATAGAACCCGTATGTTTGCAGACGAATCAGGCAGGATTCAACCGTGCTGCTTTTGGGTATGCCAACGCCCCATACTTGCCGTGAAGGGTGACGGGGGCGCACAGCCTGCCCTGCCAGGGTGAAGCGACCGACGGACGCCAACGAATTTGGGAAGCTCGCGTGGGCGAGGACGCGCGATGGTGTTTCGGGTTGGTGCCGTCTGGAGGTCCGAGGTGCGGGGTTCGGGAAGGTTGTTGCCGTTTTCGGCCTCCAGGGGCAGTTTTCGGGCCCAGTGACAGTGAAAAACGGATCCGCGATGACAAATTAGGCCACATGAGCCACGGGAGAGGTTCGGGGACAGATTTTGAGCGGATTTGGCTTCATCCCCCCCTCCTGATCGATCTTCTCAGTTGCCAACCAGTTCAGACCCCGTGGCCGCCTCCCAGTTTCGGGCGGGGCTAGGACCAGGATGAATTGTGGAAGCCTGACGTGCTGGAAAGGCCACGGCGCCCGATACATCCTCCAGGGCCGCCAGCTCTCAGAGATCCCTGGTTTGTCTCGGTCTGGTGTTGCCTCGGTGTTGGCGTCGCCTTAAACGGTGTTCACCAGTGCCTGAGCACAGCAGCCCGCTTCAGGCGCGCATTCTTGTTCCAGTCCATGTCGGCCGCGCAGCGGGTTTGCCGGCGGGTCGCGCGGGCCGTGAGGTGCCAAATGACTCCCTCTGGAGTCGATGGTCAGGGGCAAGGACAGGGCGGGATAGGCATAGGGGAGGGTGCATCGACCCCCAATCGTCCATTCATCGCCGATAGGTGTCCGATAGCCCCACCCCGCCCAGGAGAGAGGGAATTTGCAATCGGGGGTCTGTCGCCGACCGTTTGGCGATGTATCAAAAACGGTATGACGTAAACGATGTGACTTGGCGGGCGAAGAACGGTCTAAGATAGTCTGGTCCGCTGTCGGTGGGGTGGGTGGGTCGGATGATTGCGCAACCAACGGGGTGGGTACATCACTGCGCGCAAAAGTGAGTTCTCCTTTCTCAAAGAGTATATTAGGATCTACCCCCCTCCTCACTGGATTTAGCCGCCCCCCTTTTCGCATTGCAGTTTTGTCCATGCGGTTATGCCTCATTGTCCTTTTTAGATATGAGTTCATATCATTCCAGCCAAACCAGTACCGATTCCACCCATCATCCTCGGACAAAAAAACTATTTCGCGCGACGAATTGCACACGCGCGCGTAGTCGCGCGCGCATGGCGACAGCGCTTGAAAACTTTAGGTGTCGTGCTGATTTTCATAATCGAGTGTCACCAAACACATTAAACACAAAACCATGGTTTCGCAACGAGGATGCTCAGAAAAGCATGCGGTCGCGCTAAACCGTTGTGTTTTCAACACTTCCATAGAGTGCTCCCAAGCGGGCCTCTCGCGCGCGAGTGTCGAAATGGTTCGGACGCATTTGCGCGAGTGCTGTCGCAAGGATCCTTGCTTTTGATATCAAACATGGGACGAAGTGCACGCGCGCGCGTCGTCGCGTGCGCATGCCGCAATATTTGAGCAACAACCTTGGGTTGCGTAAGAATTAAGACAACGAGTGTCCCGAAAACGTAGGGAACACATTGTCTTGCAGCAGCAGTTTTCAAAAAAAAAACGGCGCGTGTGCTCTCGCGAATTCTGCAGAACACCGTTCGTTCTTCAACTTTTTCATTTCCTACCAAAAAGGCCTCTCGCGCCGCATGTCGAACTCATCCGAACGCCTTTGCGCGCGTGCTGGGGGGGCACGATCCGTGTCACATAATACCACGCGGGCCAGTTGCGTGCGTCGGCCGCGCGCGCAGGTCGAACTCGTTTCCACAACGTGCATCACCGATGCTAGGACATCGTCATCGTTATCGGCGGGCGTGATCAACACTGGTGCCGTCGTTGCCCGTGCCGTCGTCATCGCCACCATCGTCACCGTCGTCACCACCATCGCTACTCTCTTCATCGTGTCTACCGTTCTCGCGGTCGCCATCATACCGCGCCCGCCCAAGTCACCGACTCGCAGTGAAGTGCCCAGCGATCAGCGCCATCGCGGCCGTGTCGGTCGCGCCGCAGTAGCTGGTCATTGCGCGCCCGAGCACGCGCGGGCTAGCCCGGCCGCAGAGATGCACCAGCCAATGCCAAGCACTCATCGCAATCGCCGTCGGTTTGGTTTTGCTAGCAAAAGTACGGGTGGGTGGGGAGGGGATGATTTCGCGAGCAGTGGGTTTGACAATTCATTGCGAGCACGGCTGACTTGTACCAAGTAGACTGCATCACATCAGTTGCACCATATAGAGTACGAACCACAGGTTGCACCACATATGTTGGACACCATACGATGCACACTATACATCGCCCCAAATATATTGCACCACATAGGATGCACCACGTATACTCCACCACATAAGTTGCTCCATGTAGAAAGCGCCACGCATATCGCACCTGATAATTTGCATTACGTTTATCGCACAAACATTATTGCTGCACGCGCAGTGTTAGAGGTCCATGATGGATAACGTCTTCTGACGAACTGGACTCGTGTGTCCGGTCCGCTGCCTTGTTGCCGCCGTCGGCGTCTCGTCGCCGCCTCGTCGCCGCCCGTCCTCCGGGCTCGTTTGTCGGGTCCGCTGCCTTGTTGCCGCCGTCGGCGTCTCGTCGCCGCCTCGTTGCCGCCCGTCGTCCGGGCTCGTTTGTCGGATTCGCTGCCTTGTTGCCGTTGTCGCCACCCATCGCCGGCTCGTCGCCGCCCGTCGTCTGGGCTCGGTTGTCGGATTCGCCGCTTTGTTGCCGTTGTCGCCGCCCCGTCGCCGCCTCGTCGCCGCCCGTCGTCTGGGCTTGTTTGTCGGGTCCGCCGCATTGTTGCCGCCGTCGCTGCTTCGTCGCCGCCACATGGAGTGCACCACAGATTTCGCGACATAGATTGCACAACACACATTGCCCACCATAGATCACACGCCATAGAATTCACAACGTAATTTGCACCACTTCATT